GGGCTCTGCACCAGAGCAGGCGTGTTAGTGAACAGATGCTCACTGGAGACCTACTGTGTGCCTAGGGGGAGCGGGCTCTGCACCAGAGCAGGCCATGTTAGCTCACAGATGCTCACTGGAGACCTACTGTGTGCCTAGGGGGAGCAGGCTCTGCACCAGAGCAGGCTGTGTTAGTGAACAGATGCTCACTGGAGACCTACTGTGTGCCTAGGGGGAGCGGGCTCTGCACCAGAGCAGGCCATGTTAGCTCACAGATGCTCACTGGAGACCTACTGTGTGCCTAGGGGGAGCAGGCTCTGCACCAGAGCAGGCTGTGTTAGTGAACAGATACTCACTGGAGACCTACTGTGTGCCTAGGGGGAGCAGGCTCTGCACCAGAGCAGGCTGTGTTAGTGAACAGATGCTCACTGGAGACCTACTGTGGGCCAGGCACTGGCTGGGTCTTGGACACAGTGACGAACAGAGCCACCAAAGGTCCTCGGTCCTGGCTCTGCCCCTCGATGGGGCTGTAAATGTCACCTCGGAGAGCAGCTTCCTCTTTGTGCGATGTGGGTGGATGTCCCCGCCCTGCGGAGGGCCGGGCAGAGGCGCCGCAGGCAGGCACGAAGGCCTGCTTCCAGCGGGAGACGGTCCCCCGTGCTGCAGGGAGCCGGCTCCTCGGACCCAGAGCCTGAGCGATGCTGGACACAGGGCTGTGACCCATCACCCTCCACAGGGCCGGGGCCTGCCTCTGCTTCTGTTTTGTAGAAACGGCAGAGTTTACCGATGGCGCTGAAGTGCTTCTGCGGGAGCCGGCGGCCTGGCTGAGTGACCGCGGGAGGGCAGGGGGAGGTGGAAAGCTTTGGGGAGGCTCTGCCAGCAGCCAGATGCTGAGGGAGCTCACACCCTGATTCCTCTCATGAGCTGAGCCTGAGCCTCCCGGCTCCCAGCTCTCCTCCTGCTCCGGCAGCAGGCACTCTCAGTCCACCGCTCACCGCACGTAGTCAGTCAGCTTACGTTTTATTCCCTGTCTTTTTCTTTAAAAAAAATTAAAAATATATATATATATATATATATTTAGAGAGGAAGGGAGAAGGATAGAGAGAGAAACATCAGTGATGAGAGAGAATCATGGATCGGCTGCCTCCTGCACGCCCCCCACTGGGGACGGAGCCGGCAGCCCGGGCCTGGGCCCTGATGGGGAATCGAATCCTGACCTCCTGGTTCACGGGTTGATGCTCAGCCACTGAGCCACGCCGTCTTTTTCTTTTTAAAGACAACTCTTTTTGTGTTTTCTCAGCACTTGAAGGCGATCATCCCTAATCAGCACCTCTTCGTCATCGCTGCGATGTGTAATTAGTTCGCCGTAACCCTCGTATCTGCTGATTTGATTTGATTTCCCTCGGCCTTTAAAAAAATAAATCTTCAGATTCCTGGGCTGCTTCTGGGAGCGTTTCGCAGCTGCCGTTTGGACGTGTAATCCTGGTATTAGCACAGGCCTGTATGCCTCCATCGGGCTGTGTCCGAAAACTTAATAACCTGATTAGTGGAGCTAATTCCAAGTCACATAAAAATCTTCCCTGCGCGTATACAGGATGGTGCGCCGCATATTCGTTTTCTGAGAAAGAACTGCACCCGCTCTTGTTCTCCCTCCTATCTCTGATGAACACATCAGGTATTAACACGTGCTATTTTCTCACCGCAGCACCTGCGCCTGGGGGAAAGCTTTACCCCACGCACACCCCTTTATAAACAGCACTGGTTTCAAGTAAGCTACTTACTTTTTAAAAAATATATTTTATTGATTTTTTACAGAGAGGAAGAAAGAGGGACAGAGAGCTAGAAACACTGATGAGAGAGAGACATCGACCAGCCGCCTCCTGCACACCCCCCACTGGGGATGTGCCCGCAACCAAGGTACTTGCCCTTGACCAGAATTGAACCTGGAACCTTTCAGTCCGCAGGCCGACGCTCTATCCACTGAGCCACACTGGTTTTGGCTAAGTTACCTGCTTTTTAACCCTTTCTTGGTTAAGCATGTTGTGGCATGCCGTGGCAACTCCTTGTCTAGCTGGCTTGATGGGAAAATACACGCACCGACTCAATCCTGAAATCGCTCTGTTTTCACTGAAAAGCAGGCGGTGACCTGACAGGCACGGACGGGTGACTGTGGGCGAGAACACGGCTGCAGATCTTTATTTCCGAGATCCTAACTTGCTGCTGCTGATCCGCAGCCAGCGTGAGCATCCCCTGGAGGGCTTACCGCAGTCCCCGGACACTCTGAGCACCTGAGCCCACGGGGCTGTGAGGACTCCCTTCTCCTGCCCGGATCCTCAGGGCCACACTGCGTACCGTGCGCCCTCGTTAGCTCCTCACGGGTAAAGCTTCCCCCCCGACCACCAGGGTCCGCGTCGGCGTCTGTGCTTCTCCGCGGGCTGTAGGCCCGGGCCCAGGCCGGCATCTGCTCCGTGCGGAGGGAGGCAGCGGCTGAGCACTCACAGGAGGCGACGCACAGTGTCACCCGCCTGCAGCTCAGGCAGCTTCTGACGGGCCAGCAGGTCTCCACGGTCCCAGAGACCCAGCGTTCAAGTTAAGGGTAGTTCTAACGGGCCCTGGCCGGTGTGGCTCAGTGGATAGAGCGTCAGCTGCAGACTGAAGGGTCCCAGGTTCGATTCCCGGAACATGCCTAGGTTGCAGGCTTGGTCCCCAGTAGAAGGTGTGCAGGAGGCAGCCGATCCATGGTTCTCTCTCATCATTGATGTTTGTATCTCTCTGTCCCTTTCCCTTCCTCTCTGGAATCAATAAAATACATATATATATATATATATATATATATATATATACACACACACACATATATATATATTTAATATGTATATATATTTTTAATATATTTTATTGATTTTTTCACTGACAGGAAGAGAGAGGAACAGAGAGATAGAAACATCGACCAGCTGCCTCCTGCACACCGCCTACTGGGGATGTGCCCGCAACCAAGGTACATGCCCTTGACCGGAATCGAACCTGGGACCCCTCAGTCGGCAGGCCGATGCTCCATCCACTGAGCCAAACCGGTTTTGGCAAAATACATATTTTAAAAGGGAGTTCTAATTGAAACCTTTCAGCCCTACAGAAACCCTTTTTCAGCATGAGACCTTTCGATCTTTTATAAAATAAAAATGTGTAATCCGCGGTTACTTTCCCTTGAAGGAAGGAAGTCCACCGCCATCAGTAATGGTGTCACACAAACAGAGCATGTCGCTCTCCACGGGGTGGTTTTAGGTTGTTTCCTGTGGTTTTCTTACAGTTCCTCACGGGCTGATAGGCCGTCTGTGGGGAGGAGGGTCCTCCCACCTCAGTTTCCCCCGTCAGGTCACTCAGCTTTCCGTGCTAAGTCATGGCAATCCGACCCCCACGCGAACACACAGAGCCATTCAGAGCGGACAGGATTTCAAGTGCCGTGGTTTTACAGAGAAAATGTTTTTTAAAAAATATATTTTACTGATTTTTCACAGAGAGGAAGGGAGAGGGACAGAGAGTTAGAAATATCGATGAGAGAAACTTCCACCAGCTGCCTCCTGCACATGTCCCACTGGGGATGTGCCCGCAACCAAGGCACATGCCCTTGACCGGAGTCGAACCTGGGGCCCTTCAGTCCGCAGACCGACGCTCTATCCACTGAGCCACACCGGTTAGGGCCAGAGAAAATATAGTAAAGCTTTTTTTCCTTTTTTCTGCAAAGTCAGCAGAAAGCCACAGTTGCTCTCTGCAGGTCCCCCGTTGGGGAGCACTGGGGGGGTCCGGGGGGCTGTGACTCGGTCCTCTGCTGACTCAGACCGGCCAGCCCTCCAGAGCGGCTCCATTACGCCTCATCGACTTTCTGTCCCATGAATTTCTAAAAACGCTTTTCCTGAAATAATGTCCCATGCCCGATCTCATTCCGTCCCAGCACCCGGTCTGCTAACACAAACTCTCCAAGTCTCCCATGGAAATGATCTCATCGCTTTCGGTTCTCCCCACTCTGCCTCCCCGGGGGAGCCCCTCAGCCTGACACCCTCACACTCCCAAACTCACTCTTCACTCATTCCCGGCCCTGCCAAACGGATGGCTCTGACATCTGTCTCAGGTTTGGTGCTCACTAACACCAAAACAATACCTTTTAAAAAAATATACATATGTTCTTATCCATTTTTAGAGAGAGAGGAAGTGAGAGGGAGAGGGAAAGGGAGAGGGAGGGAGGGAGGGAGGGAGAGAGACATCGATGAAAGAGAATCATTGATCGGCTGCACACCTCCTACCGGGGATCAAGCCCTCGAGCCCTCAACCCGGGCACATGCCCTGACCAGGAATCAAACCGGCAACCTCCTGGTTCACAAGCTGACGCTCACCACTGAGCCACACCAGCCGGGCAGTAACACCTTTCTTTAAAGACTATTTCGTTCATTGCATTCACTCCTCCAGTTTTCCAACATGAACCAAATCTTTGAAGACGCTGAGTATAGGTTGCTTCTATTTATTAAAATGCAGCAACTGAACAAAAGCTTCACCAAAAAATGACTTTTTCCCCCTTAATGGTTGAAGCTCTGTGTGTTCCCTTCCTGGCATGAAAAATTACCTTCATTAACACTGCAGCTCATTTCCCTCATTCCGGGTTAGTTTTTACATTTTTCTGAGTAACGCAACATTATGATGTTTAAAGGACACCAATTTGTGGGTTATTTTATTTCCTGCAGGCCCTGATTCGGCAAATCACTTTAGCAATAACCTAAATCATTCAAAGGCAACGCAGGCATACCATAAACAGAAACCGCAAAGGGTATCTCTTTAAAAATCCCTTATTGGAGAGGAAAAGAGCTTTCCTATCCCAGGTCCCACAGAGTGACTTCATTCAGGCAGACTTTCCTCGGGGTCATGTGCCTGGAAATGCCAATGCATACACACACTCTAAGGTCAACCAGGAACAGCTAACGTCATCATAAATGCACAAGCCAAACGCGGGGACAGTCCAGGAACCACGTTACCTTGGCGTTGTAGGGGATGTAGTGTTTGGATAGAGCTTCCGGCGTGTGCATCCATGTTTTGTCTGCAATGAAGAACACACAGGTTAGCTCCCGCCTGGGTGCTGAGGGCGCTGGTCCCGTCAGCACGTGTGTGTGTGTGTGTGTGTGTGTGTGTGTGTGTGTGTGTGTGGGATCTGAGCACCTCCCGGGGCAGAGGGAAGACAGGGCGCGGGAGAGTCACACACCCTTTCTGATCTAAAGGTCCGCTTCTCTCTAAGGGTTTTCAAACCATGCCAATGTGACTGCGCCCCCAGGGCCGTGAGTAATTACGCCAATTATGTGATTAATTTGGTGATAATGCTCTCATTTTACTCTCATAAATTACAGGTGATGTTTCTTAATTCTCCAATGAAAAGAGTCATTTTCTCCCGACTCACTATTTAGCAAAGAATGGACAATTTAAAAAAAGGTGAATTTGAATATTAATCAATAATTGCATTTATATAAAACAGAAATAAGTCTACCCACTGGGTCCATTTAGAAATCAATATGACATTAGGATGCATTTTTAATCTGAGCTTGCAGAAACGTTAATGGTGACTCTCCTACCAGCAGTTTTTTATATAAACAATCTCGATTTGAAATGTTTTAGATTAGAGCAATGGAATATTAGAAATAAAAGTAACTAAAAGGACAGGAGACGCTAAAACTAATTTGGATTGTATATTCTTGATAGAAATATAAAACATGGTGCTGGTCATCAGACAGACACACTGCATGCTGGGGCTGGTCATCAGAGAGACACACTGCGTGCTGGGGCTGGTCATCGGACAGACACACTGCGTGCCGGGGCTGGTCAGCAGACAGACACACTGCGTGCTGGGGCTGGTCGTCGGACAGACACACTGCATGCCGGGGCTGGTCATCGGACAGACACACTGCGTGCTGGGGCTGGTCGTCGGACAGACACTGGTCATCAGACAGACACACTGCGTGCTGGGGCTGGTCATCAGACAGACACACTGCGTGCTGGGGCTGGTCGTCGGACAGACACACTGCGTGCTGGGGCTGGTCGTCAGACAGACACACTGCGTGCTGGGGCTGGTCGTCAGACAGACACACTGCGTGCTGGGGCTGGTCGTCAGACAGACACACTGCGTGCTGGGGCTGGTCGTCGGACAGACACACTGCGTGCCGGGGCTGGTCATCGGACAGACACACTGCGTGCTGGGGCTGGTCGTCGGACAGACACACTGCGTGCCGGGGCTGGTCGTCGGACAGACACACTGCGTGCCGGGGCTGGTCGTCGGACAGACACACTGTGTGCCGGGGCTGGTCGTCGGACAGACACACTGCGTGCTGGGGCTGGTCGTCAGACAGACACACTGCGTGCTGGGGCTGGTCGTCAGACAGACACACTGCGTGCTGGGGCTGGTCGTCAGACAGACACACTGCGTGCTGGGGCTGGTCGTCGGACAGACACACTGCGTGCTGGGGCTGGTCGTCGGACAGACACACTGCGTGCTGGGGCTGGTCGTCGGACAGACACTGGTCATCAGACAGACACACTGCGTGCTGGGGCTGGTCGTCAGACAGACACACTGCGTGCTGGGGCTGGTCATCGGACAGACACACTGCGTGCTGGGGCTGGTCGTCGGACAGACACTGGTCATCAGACAGACACACTGCGTGCTGGGGCTGGTCGTCAGACAGACACACTGCGTGCTGGGGCTGGTCATCGGACAGACACACTGCGTGCTGGGGCTGGTCGTCAGACAGACACACTGCGTGCTGGGGCTGGTCATCGGACAGACACACTGCGTGCCGGGGCTGGTCATCAGACAGACACACTGCGTGCTGGGGCTGGTCGTCGGACAGATGGAGCAGATGTATTCTCTAGGGCTGTCCCTCAACTCCCAGTTCTCAGCATGTACTATGGCTTCCCTCTGGGTGGACACACTCACCTTTCTTCCTGCTGAAGGCGCGATTCATGGTGGGGGCCAGCGGCGAGCTCACCCCAGCACACGGTGTACCTGTGAAAACAAGAAATTAAGAGTCAGCGAAGACGTGCTGACCAAACGCTTTTAAGCGAATGCACTGAACACTTTTAAAATATTTACAAACCATCTCCCAAAGGACACGGGGGAAGAACAAACACCAGTACTCAGATGTATGGTGGCCCAGCAGGTAAGACTCCTCCAGAATTCCTACATTTTCTTTATTTTTTTTCCCTACGGCGCATCTGCCACTAATTATATTTATTTGCAAATTGGAGGGGAAAATCTAATAAGCAGACTAAAGCTGGGAACAGAGCCACGGAGAGCCCATGGAGAACAGGGCCGGCTGCTCACACTGAGCCAGCAGCGAGGGAGGGACACGTCACACCCCACAGGACACCAATTAGATCGACTAGCAGCTGTCTTATGTCACACGAAGAAAAACATGAAAACTAAAACAAATGATACTTAACAAATCTTAAAAACAGGGCCCCCAAATGAAACCTTTTCCAAGGAACTTCACTATACCCCAAAATTTTGTTCAAAAATATTTTAAAAACTATGAAAATAGGCAATACCCAACGTGATAAAATCCACAATTTCTGGCAACTAAAAAACAACAACAATCAGGCATGCAAAGAAGAAGAAAAAAAATGGGGAGAAAAAAATCCATCAGAACTGATCCAGAAGAAGGACATGGTAACAGTAGTGACAGCCACAGGCATTCAGAGACACTCCACCTGCTCAAGAAGCCGCACAGAGCGAGCAAGAGGCAGAGACGAGATATAAAAGCGACCAACCCCAGCTTCCAGGGCTGTAAACCACAACGCGGGGGCAAAATACACCAGATGGGACTAATGGCAGGTAAGTCACTGCAAAAGAAGAGCGGTGAGACTGAAGACAGACACAGCACTCACCACCTAAAATGGAACAGACGGAGCAGAAGGAGGGAGGGAGGGAGGGAAGAATTCATTCATTCATTCATCATTCATTCATTCAGGCCTGGTGCATGAATTCGTGCATGGGTGGGGTCCGGCCAGCCTGGCCAGGGGGAGGGGACATGGGCGGTTGGCCAGCCTGCCTGCTGGTCTAACTCCTGGTTGACAAGACAATTTTCATATTAGCCTTTTATTATGTAGGATATACACTGAGTGGCCAGATTATTATGTGTTCAGAGATCATCATAATCTGGCCACTCAGTGTAGTTCCTAATTTATTGAAACATTATCACTCTAAGTTTAAAGCCAGCTGCAAGTTTTAATTTGCTAAGTAAACATTTAAAATACATGATAAACACGAAAGGCAAAACTCATTACATGAATCATTTTAATCCCAAATTTTATTTAAAAATCAGTAACCCCACTGACAAACACTGTGAGGCCAACTGTACTAATTACTCCATACATTTTACCTTTTGTAGGCTTACGTTTTTTTAAAGTTGGAGTCAACAACCATTTCTTTCTTCATTTTTTTTAAAGCATTGTATACAGAAGTTACTTTTTCATTTTTTAAACACATATTTTATTTATTTTTTTACAGAGAGGAAGAGAGAGGGAGAGTCAGAAACATCGATGAGAGAGAAACATCCATCAGCTGCCTCCTGCACATCCCCTGCTGGGGATGTGCCCGCAACCAAGGCACATGCCCTTGACCGGAATCGAACCCGGGACCTTTCAGTCCGCAGGCCGATGCTCTATCCACTGAGCCAAACCGGTCTTGGCAGCACCCATTTCTTTAAATAGACCAGCACGTCCAGGTTGGAAACTGATTTGCCGGAGGAAAAGCGCAGATATTTATAGACGAGTCCAAGCCCCGGAGAGGCCGTGAATGAGCGGCCGTTTCCTGCGCGGAGCCCGCGGCCACGGCCCCTCAGGAAAGCCCGGTCACAGCACGCTGTGGCTCAGCCGCACGCCGGAGCCCAGTCCCCGGAACACAGCTGCTGCTGCTGCGTTTCATTGTGTTCAGCACGTGCCTTTAAAATCAAACTTCTTTTTGGAATTCTTTCAAGGTTAAAGCTGTTGTTTTTTTAATCTATTATAAAAACTGATGAGAACGCCGTTCACATATAAGCCATTAATCACTTTACAATCCAGCCCTGGCCCGGTTGCCCAGTGGTTAGAGCACGGGCCTCCGACAGCAGGGTCATGGGTTTGGTTCTGTTCTGCAGTACGTGCCTGGGTGCAGGCTGGGTCCCCTGCACCCCTCGGGGTTCAGGGGAGACAACCAGCCAATGTGTCTCTCTCACGTGGATGTTTCTCTGACTCTCCCGTCCCTTCCACTCGCTCTAAAAATCAAAGGGGGGGATATATCCTCAGGTGAGGATTCACTCACTCACTCACTAAACACATGCATACATACATACACACACACACACATACCTGCAGTCACCATGGCAGTGCTGGGCGGGAGGACCACAACACTCTGTGCAGAGGCTGGGGCAGCGGAGGCAGCCTCTGCCCTCTGCCAGCCCGGAGGTGCCTGGCTCGGCCCTCCAGATGGCACAGCCAAGGCCCCGTCCGTGTCCTTGGGGCCAGAGCGAGCCCGGGAGGCAGGTGGGCTGGGTGCTCCGGCGGCCTGCTGGGAATCCCCCAGCCCGTCCACCAGTGCCTGCACCTTTTCAGCATGCGTTATGGGTGTCAGAGAGGAGGGGAGAGGGAGAGGGAAACATCAACGCTGAGAGAGTCACGGGTCCGCTGCCTCCTGCACGCCCCACACGGGATCCAGCCTGCAGCCCGGGCCTGTGCCCTGACCCCAGAGCCACGCCAGCCGGGCTGTCTCACTAAGTTTCCCTCGTTGCCTAATGTCTTTCTCTGTAATGAGGTGATCACGCGGGAAATAAATGATGCCAAGAGGAACATTTTGACGGCAAATAAACCCCCGATATTGAACAGACATCAGCTCCAGGACACAGGAGTCTCCTGCCCGGGCCCCAACAGGAACCCAGGACAAGGCTCCTTCTGAGCCTTAGGTGTTGAAGTTCTTTGTGTACGTCCCACTCGATATTTTCCCCATTTTAAAAATCATCACAGCATCATTTCTCTGCTTTTTATTTCTTAAAATAGGTTTTTATTGATTTCAGAGAGGAAGGGAGAGAGATAGAAACATCAGTGATGAGAAAGTCATGGATCGGCTGCCTCCTGCGTGCCCTTCACTGCGGATGGAGCCGGAAACCCCGGCCTGTGCCCGACCGGGAGTCGAACCCTGACCTCCTGGTTCCTGGGCGGATGCTCAGCCCCTGAGCCCTGCCCGCAGCTCTGCCTTTTACTGTGGTTGTACCCAGAGCGCTGCGCCTCCCGGACCTGTGGTTCGGCCATTTCACCGACCACCGGCCCCACAGCCTCTGGGGACTGTGGCTCCGGTTCTGAGGTGACATGGTCTTTGGGGAGGTCCTTAGGGTAAGTCCTGGGGAGGGTCCTGAGGAGGGTCCTTGGGGTAAGTCCTGGGGAAGGTCTGGGGAAGGTCCTGGGGGAGGGTCCTGGGGGAGGGTCCTGGGGGAAGGTCCTGGGGGAGGGTCCTGGGGGAGGGTCCTGGGGAAGGTCTGGGGAGGGTCCTGGGGGAAGGTCCTGGGGGAGGGTCCTGGGGGGAGGGTCCTGGGGAAGGTCCTGGGTGAAGGTCTGGGGGAGGGTCCTGGGGGAGGGTCCTGGGGGAGGTCTGGGGAGGGTCCTGGGGGAAGGCCCTGGGGGAGGATCCTGGGGAAGGTCTGGGGAGGGTCCTGGGGGAAGGTCCTGGGGAGGGTCCTGGGGGAGGGTCCTGGGGGAGGGTCCTGGGGGAAGGTCCTGGGGAGGGTCCTGGGGAGGGTCCTGGGGAGGGTCCTGGGGAAGGTCTGGGGGGGAGGGTCCTGGGGGAGGGTCCTGGGGGAAGGTCCTGAAGGGAGGGTCTGGGGGGAGGGTCCTGGGGGAAGGTCTGGGGGAAGGTCCTGGGGGGAGGGTCCTGGGGGAAGGTCTGGGGGAAGGTCCTGGGGGGAGGGTCCTGAAGGGAGGGTCCTGGGGGAGGGTCCTGGGGGAAGGTCCTGGGAGGGTCCTGGGAGGTCCCGGAGGCCTTTGAAAGAGGAGGAAGTCTGGCTGCTCAGCTCCAGCTCCGTGTATGAGGCTTGGGCTGATGGCCCTCAGACTAAAATCTATACAACAGACATTGTCTGGAGAGTCCGCTCCGCTTGCTTCACAGGCAAAGCCATGATCTCAGAACCGCACTTCAGCTGCAAATGCCCTGCCTTTTTGCTGGGATTGAAAGGGTTTCTTAAAATTTTCATCTCCTGTGCTCATGTCAGCTGCTTTCAGCCTGGGATTTGTACAGGAAGTCCTGACACTTAATTCCATCAGCACCCACCACCGCGCAGACAGACTCCCCATTTTAATCATTCCGGAAACTTTGGAGCGTTTTTCTCGAGGGGGGAGGAGAGAGGGACGGAGAGAGGAGAGGAGTGCTCCTCCCCAGCCGGCAGCAGCCTCAGGACTTCCCGGCCCCAGAGCATCTCACCAGGCCCAGCTTCCCTGGAGGAAACTGGCGGCAGGAAATCTAATCTTTAAAGCAGCTTCCAATGTTTACCCGGCGGGCGGGGCGGCGGGCGGGTCCTCCTCCGGTCTGCGGGGCACCCCTCGGCCCCCAGCCCTGCCCTGGGCCTCAGGGCCCGGAGGCTGCGGCCTCTGCCACCAGCAGGTTCCATTTCCACTCCGGAGGGACCACCGGATCCTTTAATCCGGGCCGGTCTGTGGATTCCTCCGGGGAAGGGCTCCCCTCCACCCGCCGCCCAGCGGGGGCCTCACAGCCGGTCCAGGAAGTCCCCGCCCGCCCGCCCGCAGCTGGGGCTCCGCCAGGACCCACCCTTCCCCAGGGGGCAGATAGACGGGGGCGGACAAAGCCTCTCCTAGGCCATTCCCCGCACCGCCCATTAGCTGCCCGCCTGGGCTTGGCTGATCTGGATGGGGCGCCGGCTCCCCTCCCCACACCCAGCTGAACTGCCCTCCGGCCCCCGGACCCCCCAGCTCTGGCTCTGACTGCCCTCCGCTGGGGCCAGCCCTTCCCGGGCTCTCCTGAGA